TAGGGTTTCCCCCTATTTTGAATCGCATATTTATTTAATTTTTTGTTTAGAAAAAAAGGTTAAATATTACTATTCATGGATGCCAAGATAAGGTTCTTAAACAATGCTATCCCTATATACAAAATGTTATCTCTTAGGATAATAGTGTAAGGTTGCCACTTTTTTCGATTCTACATAATTTATCAAAACATCGCAATATGGATATCAAATGAAAGGTATTGTTGATAACTTTGGTCAGAAAATATTTTTCATCAGGATTGCCACGCTTCTGTGTAATACAAATTTTTATTTTGTTAATTTCAATAAAATTTTTTTATGTATACATAGTACATATACGCCCAAAATATGTACCTTTCATTCCAGCGTATTTTGGAGGAGGTTTGCCACCTAAATTTTAGAGTAAGGAAGTTACTTAATAGATATCGCAATCCTATTTTTTTGTTTATTTCCAAAATATTTTTTTAAAGCTATCCAAATCTAGAAAACTGTAAAAAGTATATGCACTCCGGGCAAAGCGCGGTCAACCTGGTACTATTTCTTATAACAAAAAAAGAAAAACCTTATAGGACGTTTTTATACAAAATTTACGACACTACAGCAAAATTGTAAGTAAAAGACTCTTATTTTCGCAGTTTGGCAAACCCATGGTTTCTTCGGCCGAAAAAATTGGCCCGCCCTAATATATACATATGCCTATTCTATATATTTACATGCCTACTAGCAAACACATATACACAAGTATATTCAGATTTATATATAAATGTTTATATTTGAATGTAGAACGAGAAAACAAATCTTTAAAGTACATACATATTTATGTAAGTACATATGGAAATATCGTTTTGACCTCTACAGCTGACTATGGAAAAGAGAATTATCTAGAAACAGACCAATGCACCAAAGCCTTAAAATATGTACATAAATGCAATTACAATATCTACTTAACAGCTCCCCGCCCTCCCCCTACAAATACTTTTATATAATATATTTTGTCAACACCTCAAGTAAATAGAGCCTTAAAGTTTACAAATCCTAAGAAAAAAATCTTTGCCGAGAAATGATATTAGTTCATATAATTTTAGAAACTCCCTCACACCTTTCTTGGAATATATAAATTGCAGATTAATTGTTATTGTATTTTTTTTTTACTACTATAGTGAGACATGTTTGCGATGCGTTTTTTTCAGAATGCTTGGACGTCAATTCGTCAAACGAGTAGAAAACTGTCTGGCAATTATAATTATCGGTTTGCATTGGTGTAAACACCGTATATTATGTATTAATAATTACGTAGATATATCATTGAAAATAATTAATACATATCGGTAGCTTAGAGTGCAAAGTTGCTAGGTCGATTTTTTTAATTTCACAGGAGAGGAAAAAAACTTCGTCCTTCCTTTAAAACCAAGTAAAACTCCATACGAATTAGAAAGATTCGTTCTTTAATAAAAGATTTCGTATTATTTTGGTTTTGTCTCATTTTCGGTGCCTCTTTTGGATTTGCAAATTTGCCTTTCATTGAATATAAAACGAGAAATAACAAAACAAGTACCCTAATCCTTTTCGAAGCGATGCATATTTAATATCCCTATGCTTCCTATATCAAGATATGAGTTTTCATAAAAAGTGCACTTAGCAACTTTTCACTCTAAGCTAGCGATCTAATCGTACTATTTATGTGTAATATGCGGTTCATTTATAACTGTGTTCTCAAAGCTCATATATGTATGTATGTATATACATATGTATGTATTTATATATCGTTACCTTAATAAATATAGAAAGATCCTAACTCATTTTCTTTTGATATTCTGCTCCGCACAAAACTCAGTAGATTAGACACTAAAGGTCAAATCGAATATAAAATAAACTATTAGGTCGAACAATTAGTTTCTACGTTTATTAAAAATCCGTCAGAAAATCGCAACTGAATAATTTTAGTTTGTATACAGTTTGAAAACTAATTTGTAGCGCAGCACAAATGTCTGATAGGACCTTTCTATATTAAGGTAACGATATGTAAATATTAATTTTTATAACCAATTATAGTATAATTGTCATTCCAAAATTGTCCACTTATAGATTAAAAAAAAAAACACCAACAACAAAAAAAAGGAAAATACATATTACCACTACACCTTGTGTTTATTTTTTTTTTCATTTAATACATATGTATGTATGTAGATTGTTTGCGAATTTCATTTAATTAAAGTTAGATATTTAATTTCAATTATTTTATTTCGATTCATTCCATTTCATTTGATATTATTATTTTTTATTAATTATTATATTTTATATTACCTCATTTTATTTATATTTAACGATTTTTTTCTGTGTCAATTCAAAAAGCCAAGTGGAGCGAAGTCCTTCACCACCTTGTCGCTTTTCTTGTTGTACAGCACTTCAAGCTTCTCAAATAATATTCCCTTAAACTTTCGCCGGTGTCATCAAAGAAGATCTCATTCTAGGAAAAAATTTTAATTTGTTATTTTTCATTTGATTTTTATTTTATTTTTTATTTCATTTTGTTGTATACAAGGCGAATTAATATAAGGTGATAGCAGGAGTACAAAAACAAAAATTTACATGTATTTTGTTTTTGCTTTGGCGGCATAAACTGTCAAAATCTGTAATAGTGTGTGTAGAAATTCAAACAAAATTTTTCAAATTGATATCAGAAGCCGTGCGGCGAAACACATATACAAAATCAGCTGAGCTAGTAACACCACCTTATATAAATTCGCCTTGGTTGCATATGAATTTTAAACAACAACAAACCCGTTACTTGATTGTTCAACGAAATATTGACAAAAAAAAGAAATAAAAACCAGCCGTTTATTTTGAAAGTGGCATAAGTCATTTCATGCCGTTTAACTACACTGATCATTTAGCTGCATCTTAACGCGTGTGTTATTCGTTAAACTTAATCATTCAAAATGAAATGAAATGAAAAGCGACAAGTGTTTCCTATTAGTTTATGACGGCAGAACGATTGACAGATGCATTCATTTAGTAGTAACCAACCATTTGAGTACGAGAGGTGGAATTGACTTATAACACTTTCAAAATAAACGGGTCAAAAAATAAAACAATATTTGCGTAAATGTAATTTTTATTACATATGTACATATATATCTACCATCTATAAACCTGTATGTACATACAACGTATGTAAGTTAATAATGTAGGTATATTCGTATATTATGTCCTATAAAGCACATAAAAGCAACAACAACAGATTATTCTAAAATTATTCAAATAGCTTTACCCATGTCCAACAGAGTCCATGTAAAAATATTGTGTATTTTTACCTTTTAATAAAAAATTATGTCTGTTTGTATATAAAATAATCTACATATTTACAATTATATATGTACAATTAATTAAAAATGGCATAAAATGTAATTGATTCTTTTAATCAATTATATTCTGTGAAAGAAAATGGTTTTCATATCCAAAAAAATTGTAGAAACTTAAATTCCAATTTTTTTAAATAATTACACTGGTTTACACCAAAAATGTTCTATAGATGCCACTACCCAATTCCTATGCAAAATTGCTCGGTGTTTCCGAAAATCGATATTTTTTCTATGGATAACTTTTCTATATTTGAAATTTACCGCTAATCAGCTTAAAAAATAGTGGTTTCACTTAATCACGTATATCTTACAAACCTATTAAATAATCGTAATACGAGATACGGAAAATGAAAGCTTATAAACTTCTCCATAAACTGTATATATGTATGTACATCAGTTTTCAATTGCCCTGATAGGTTCTGAGAAATTAATTAATCATTTCTCACGCCTCTTGCTTTGAATGCAAACACTTTTCTTCTCGTATTTCATACAAGAAGTCCTTGCGCATTTGCATTTCACCAATCATTATCTTCTTATTTATCCATCGATTTTCTTCATTGGTAGCTTAATTTTTTTCTAAAGGAACAGGCTTTAACACAAGTGTAAAACATTTGCACAGAAACTGTTATTTTTTTAATTATTTCCCTGTTAAAATTTGAATTTTTTGCCTTTATTCATCAAAAAACAAAAGAAACTGGAATGATTAATTAATTTCTCAGGAACTATCAGGGCTATCCAAAAGTTATACATATATATATATATGGTTTATGGAGAATTTTGTTTGCTTTATTTGGTGTATCTCGTATTACGATTATTCAGTTGGTTCGTAAGATATACGTGATTAAGAGGAACCGCTCCTTTTTTTTTGCTGAATTACGGTAAATTGCAAATATCTCGAAAACGCATCCATAACGAAAAAAATTAACTCCTATTTTTGGAATCAGCGAGCGATTCTACATACAAATTGGATAGTGGCGTCTGGAGAACAAAAACAAAATTAAAATTTGTGATCCAGTGTTATTTGAGATAATTCTTGTAACGCTAAAAGGAAAATCAAATTATTTATTTACTATTTATGATCATTTAATTTTTGCAACCATTTATTGAAACCTGAACTTGGACATATAAGTACATATGTAAATCTAGGTCGTACCAGTTGCGTAGACCCTTTGTCATGGGAACGAGGAAGAGTCACTCATGACCCATGGTAATGATGACGCCGTTGTACAGATACTTTGTATTGGGGTTTCAAGGAAATTAGTGTCTTAATGAAAAAATACCATAAATAATACCAATTTACCCCTTCATATTAGTTGAAAAGTTGACTAAGTTCATCCGAGCCAAAACATAAAACGAAACTAGTATTTTTATAAATGCATACATATGTATACGTGAAAATGTGTACATACATATCTATTTTACTTTGAATTGATTGCAAAGAATATATTATTTAACAATTAAGGGAAGTAGCTACAGCTTTAAGATCTAATATATAGTTGATAGTTAATTTTAGAAAAGAATACTTACCGAGACTTTTGGCAAAAGTTTAGAAGTAACGATTACACAAATGTCACAAGTATCGAAAAACGATTTTAAGTATTTAATCAAATGTCAATTGCAAATACAACTATTTCCCAAATATCTAGATGTTTATTGATTAATTATAATTATTTTTGCTTATGGAATAGTAATATTTATGTACATAGAATTCAGCGCCCCTCCAAGGGGATAGTAGATAACAAATATCATATAATAAATGGGAATTAAATTTTAACTAAAAAAATAAAATACATATATTTAAATGTTTGATTTCGCTTTCACCGCTTCGCGAAAATCGCACAATGGTTGCCTTGATCATAGTAGCTTTGAAGTAGTTCGACCTCTGGCACTTGCGCTAACATTGCCTCCAGCTCGCCTGCCTCAAAGACATGGTAGTAACGCAGGTAGGTACTTGCTTGCGCAGTTCTTTGCTGATCATCTGCATTTCTCTTTCCCGCATCTTGTCCAGTTTTTAACTTCCAAGGTACGAGCACATCTTGTTGCATAAAATCGGTGCGATTTGTGTGTACGGGCAGTTGTGGTGCGCCAGGCACCAACTCTTCCAGCTTTTGTTCGTGTTGTTGCCGCTGCAACTCCGCTGTCGCACGCTGTCGCTGTTGCTCTACAGTGACTTTGTTTTTGTTCACCGCTTTATTCTGCAATAGATATGCAGATTTATTATTATTGACACGTTGATCTTTAGCCCAAACATATATGAGTGCACGTCCACCTGGACGCAGCACTCGCGTCATTTCTAACACAGCGGCTAAACGGCGTTCTGCGGAAGCCAAATGGTGTATCACTGCAATGCTGATGCAACCATCGATCGATTGTGTGCGTACGGGCACCTGTAAGCAATCACAGCGAAAAGCGTTTGGGAAAGCGGCATGGTTTTTATTGGAGACTTTAGCCCGTTCAAGGCACGCAGTAAGCAAGCCACCACTGCGATCGCAACCAATAGTTAAGGCATTGCTATTGCATTGTAGATATTTTCCATTACCACAGCCAATATCGAGCAGTATGGATCCTGTTGGAAAGCTTCGAAGAAACTCGGTCACACGCGGCCAAGGAGTATGGCGGGTTTCGCTGAAATGAGGCGCTATACGCTCATAAACGCTGTGTACGTTTAACTCTTCTAATCGTACAGCTACTGCGTCTGATATGACTGGGTTTGTGTCGTTGCGTACATTCAAGCGTGTATCACACAGCGTTGGAAATGCACAGTCGCATGGACCTCGCCGCAGTCGTCGGAATGTGAGAGAGATGCGTTGGCTCCGCTTCGTCACTGTTAAACCGCTTTCAGTAGGCACGACATCCAAAGTGCGCGGAGTAATGCCATGTGTCCAGTCGTATCGTGATGCACCAGACATCACCAGCATTGAGCGGCGTAACAATTTGAGCGGGCGCCGATCAATGCCGCGCCGAAAATCCATAACTACATCACTACATAGCGATAAAGAAAGTATTGGCTCAAGAAATGCGCTGTGTGTATCCACATGTGGTGGAATACCTTGTCCAGGTTGATAAATATTAACAGTCAATTGTTCTGGCGCCTCCCAATCCCATGCTGGTAAACCTAGCATAGCCACCTCCGATTTCAAACGCGACCATAGAAATTCGCAATCTTTAGGGATATTTACATTTAATGGTTTAGTTGGGTCTACGTTATTTTCGCCATAAATAAATTCATATCCAAAATGTTTAACACGCCGATGTTTCAAATCACTCTCTTCTTTAGTTTCTTCTGTCGCAATAGCCTTGAGCAAGATTTCTTCTTCAGATTCAGTCACAAAATCTGGCAATAATACCAAACCGTCCGGCAATGGCTTAGACCACACATTTTCCTCAGTGCATGCAGGCAAGCTTTTAACGAATGACAAATATATAACTCCTCCACGTTGCTCCAAATTGGATTTGCCATGTAAATTGTTGTAGATTTGCTCCGCTTCATTCACATTGCTGCATTCTAGAAAGCAGTATGATTTATTAGGCAACATTAGCACCTGTTGAACGGAGCCATGTTGAAGGGTGGCATAAAGCATAGCTTCTTCCGTGAGTCCCGTGGAGAGACCGGCGTTCAAAATAGCAAGAAAGCGTGTGGGCGATTCACTATTATCAATCCCACAGTCGGCGCGGATTATTGCCTCACACCGCCGTTGTTTACGCTCCAATTTACGCGAGATGTAGTCCTTAGTCATTTTCAGGTGTAGAATTTTTAACTATTTTGGCGACAAGCTAGCTTTTACAGCGCACCGCGAATTAAATATTTATCGAGGGCTAAAAACGTGTGGAATTGTTTATTTACATTTTAAATGTCAAACGTAAGAAAAGAAAATACAAAACACAGCTGCCAGTTTTCACCATGATGCATGATGCAATACAAGGTGGTGACAGTTGTGACAGCTCGATTTTGCACTACCTTAGAATAAAAAAAAGAGAAGAAATTAACCCCGTTTGGGGAAAAATATAAAAGTTCATATTTTCTTCTAAGCAAGGTTTGCATTTTTTAGTATATTCGTAATGAAATGAAATTAGATAAGATAAAATACCTCTTTGAGAAAACAAAATGTGTATACTGAGAAAGTAAAAAAAGGATCAACTATATCGTTTGGCAAAGAATTGTTAAAGAAGTAACACTGTTTCTCCTAAGGCAGTCAATATGGCGGAATTAGAGCGAAAAGCTGCCAACCGATACACCTTGTATTATTGCATCATGAATTTTCACCGGTTTAGAAAACCGAGTCGATGTGGGTACACCAAATACCAATTAGACCCATAAACCTGTTCGATGTCCCAAACCGATTCAGCGCTGGCGTGTTCAGAACAGTGATGGAAAAGTAGGCACAACAGTGCAATTTTTGGCACTTTCATTTACAGAGGCACTTTTGGCACAATTCATCCTGTTTTGGCACAATCATAAGATACAGAAATTTAAAATAAAAGGCGACTATTTAACGAAAAATCACATACCACATTATAGATTAAAAAAGTACTCATATTTAATATAAGAGCCGTGAAAAATATTTACAAACCGCTGAATTCTATTGTGAATACGCAGTACGAAAATAAGCTTTCGCAACAACTTTTAATTCAGAAGGTTTAGAAAGATTCTAAGTTTGCAGTTTTATAGTCCACTAAACAAAAGTGCAAGTTTCTGGAATATCCCGATAATTTTTAATTTTCTTTTTCTGACGGTGTAATACATTTTCATCCATTAAAAAATTTTCGAACATACTTTGTATGGAAAAAATGCATGAAATTGAAAACTTGGAATCTCCTTAAAAATTCCGAATTCAAAGTTTGTTGTTGGGAAAACCTGCTGAATTTTTGCAATTTTCATGCCAAATTTGAAATGACGATTTTTGTACATATATTGTGTTTATTGAATTATGAAATCATTCGAAAAATAATCAATGAACAAAATAGGTGAAACTGTGCAAAGTGTCTCACTGCCATTATTTCGAATATAGGTACATATATACATATATGTGTGTAAAAATGTCATAATACCTATATTTCGATGTATTTCCTTCCCCTCCGTAATTAGAATTCTGCGTAATTTTATTATGAATTTATTAATTATATTTATGAATTTGCAAGTTTTCTGCGTATGCGAATGCCAAAAATTGATATTTTTGATAACCATCAATAATTGTGTGAGAGGAAGTGGCGAGGAAGGGGGAAGGGCGCCGAGTTGCTCGTGCTCGGCCAACACGCTTTGTGCTCCCGTACGTCTGAGTAATTCTAGTTGGCCGTAAGGCTGCAAGCTTACGAATTGGTAACATCATCTAACATGGTTTTACGTGCCAACGGGTTTACGCTTCTGATTAACTACGCTATTAATGCATCGAATCGTTTTGGGTACCGAGAAGGAAGTATTTGGTACTGAATTTTTTTCTTGTATAGGATACCAAGTGTTGTGTACAGACAGCTCAGCACATCCCTATTCATTTGTCTGCTTCAGCTTCGTGTTTCAAGTGCACCCCGGAAAAAATTGATAAAATTTTCTTACAACTGGTGTATTAGTTGAGAAAATGTGTATATTAAATTGCAAATTGAATTTGTGCTTCATATAAATCAAAAGCAAAGTGAAGCTGAGGCTTAGGGAATGTTTGGGACCTTTTGCACTGCGTTGGTGATTGTAGCGATAGCAGTGGACAAAACAGAAGCAGAGTTTTCTGTCTCGGCAGCGAGCGTCGCTGCGCTACACTTTTGGTAACAGCTTCGCTTGTGGATCCGGGAGGAGGGAAGTGTTCGTCGCCGAAACCAGCAGCAACCAGAGCTTCCTTAAATGCAACAGCAACAACAAACTCAGTCGCAGCCGCAACAATGGGTAAGCAGAGCTTAAATGGAGCAGAATAACAAAGGAAATATTTCATATATGCAAAAATGACAGACAGTAAAAATGCTTCCCAAGCAAAAAAAAAAAAAAGAATGAAAGCACATTCCAAATTACAAAGCAGCCGTTTGAAATGTGATGCCCACATTAAAACCCTCACCCCTTTCGTCGCCAACCCCGTTCAACAATAGCGTTAAAAAGCTATGGCGTATATTCTGCAGCCGCACATTTCGTGCAAAAAAAAATCAAATCGATTTTGCCAAATTCACGGACAACAGTTCAGGGTAAACTGCCTGCGAAGTGCGAGTGTAATGCCAGTTGCAATCGTCAAAGTCCATGTCGAATGAGAAAAACAACTACAACCAACCTACCCACAGACCGGATGGCAGAGGGTTGAGTCAGCGCGTTTCAAGTGCGATAAGTAATTATGTTCGCAATCTATGTATGTATACGCGTTCATTGGCTGAAGACGGGACGGACAAACGGAAAGCAAACAAGTCTGCAAGGGCTTGCTTCCACTTTTGTTCGCAATGCGATTCCATGAAATGTTTCGAAATAAGTGCCGTTGGCTATTTTTAAGTCATTCCCAGAGCAAGCAACAAACCGTAAAATGTGTGTGTGTATGACATTGCTGTCAAACTAGGCCAGAGCAACTTTCGTAGCAAGCAGCAGTGGCAGCAGCAGCAACACCAAGAAGTCAAGCATTCACCGTAGCCATGACAGCCGGCCTAACATATGCTAGACTGCACTGTAACAAGACTTTTGTTGTGCGCTCCCACTTTACACCCACATGCGGCATGCAGCAAATGATAATAAAATAAGAGAAAAAAAGAAATTACTTGTCACCATGGACAGATGGGACGTATACACACGGGCGTTTGACCAAGAGGCTATCTTCTTTGCTCTGCTGCCTTGGCTAAACAAAAAAACAAAATTTTGTTGTTGCCATTTGCATGGTTAATCAAACTTGCATTCAATATAGAAACACGACTGGCTGCTTTGTAGAAATGAGCATTGTTCGATATCACTCTATGCCCTAGTTTAAGAAATTGTATATAAAAATAGATTTATTTCCTATTTCTTTCTAGAATGCCCGCAAATTGATTTGTATGAATTCCTAACCGAAGCAGAGCTGCAACATTATTATAATGCAATAAAGTGAGTTTAGAAATCGAATCCCACGCATTCTTAAATTATAGACAAACAAATTATCATATTTTCCTTTGCAGAAACGAACTGAAAATCACAAATGCTGCCCACGTTAAATATGCAACTGATGAAGACCTTAAGCATATTGGACTATCGCGCCCAGAAATACGCCGATTGCGTAAATTCTATGAAAAGCACTTCCCACATGGTTATCTGAGCAAAATTAAGCGGCTACTACAGGCACCGGCGACAATTGTCAAGCGGGACAGCAGCGATGGCACTTCCACGCTTTCAAACGCGTCATTACACAGCGCAGCGGAGTCGCCTTCAGCGGCGCACACCGCCAACTCGCCCAGCAAGGCGCCAAATAATAAGCACATTATACCAGCCGATTCTATAACGGTGAATAAGCAATTGGGTACTGGTGAATTCGGCATAGTGCAACAAGGCGTGTGGACCAATGGCACAGAGAGGGTAAGTGTATGCATTTGTAGTGTTTGAATCAAGTTACTTTATTTATTAAATAGTTTAATTCAAAAGCAGTACAAAAACTAGACCTATGCTGTATGCTTTGAAAACTGACAAAAAGTACAACTGAATTTTTCAACCAATGAATAAGTTAGCGATCATACACGGTAGTCAAACCGATAAAACTTATCGGCCTTTCAGTGTTGCCGCTACACCATCCCCCTCCTTAGAGGCATCTTCCTCGATTAGGCACTCATCCCAAAAACGTACGCGCCGATTTTTCTTACTGGCTCTCTTGAACATTGCTATCTCCTCGTTAGGAACATACGCTGGCTTCAACCTATCGATGGTCACCGTGACAGGTTTGGCTTTAACGAGAATTGTAAATGTTTTCGGGTGACGCTCCAGCACCTTAAAAGGACCTTCGTATGGAGCTTTCAATGGTGTCCTCACAGTGTCATCCCGAAGGAAAACATATTTGCAGACCCGTAAATCCTTGGGCACGTAAACCACCTTACTACCATGAGTTGACGTTGCAATAGGGCGCATTTTTTCGAAGTATACGTGCAACTTTTGAAGAAACTCGTGTTCGCCAATGCGCGGAGTGTCCGCTTCGAAAAAAAAATTCGCCCGGTAGTTTCATCGCCTGACCGTAGACCAGTTCCGCCGTGGATGCTCCTAAATCTTCCTTCACGGCCGACCTCAGACCCATCAGCACCACAGGGATCTGATCCGTCCAATCATGGTTCCCAGCGTGACAACGCAACGCGGTCTTAAATACTCTGTGCCATCTCTCGACTAAACCATTAGCCTGCGGATGGTAAGCTGTGGTCCGCAGATGTTTAATACCGAGAAGCCGAGCCATCTCATTAAACAAATCGCTTTCAAATTGCCGTCCTTGATCGGTGGTTATGTATTTAGGAACCCCGAACCTGCATATCCAACCGCTAAACAGAGCTTTAGCCACTGTCTCCGCTGTAATATTGGGCAGCGGAATAGCTTCCACCCACCTAGAGTAACGGTCGATGCAGGTGAGACAATAGATGTAGCCATTTGATTGCGGAAATGGACCTACTAAATCTATGTTTATATGCTCGAATCGTTTATCAGGTACTGAAAATGTTTGCAGCTCGCTACGTGTATGGCGGGTAACTTTACACCGCTGACATTGCTGACAACTCTTCACCAACGCCCGTATATCGGAGTTCATGCCCTTCCACACGAACTTGCTTGCAATTAGCTTGATGGAAGTTTTGACGCCCGGGTGAGCAAGCCCATGTAGGGCCTCAAATATCACCTTACGCAATGATTTGGTTACGTAGGGCCGGAGCCTACCGGTGGAGGTGTCGCAGACTATATCTATGTCAGAGTTCTGCAGCCTGTGCTTGCTTAACTGCAACGA